ACAATATCCGTACAACACGCCGGATTTGTTCCTTATCGCTTAACTCCGGTCGTGTTACGATAGTCATCGTCCTCAAGTGTGCGTTTTTCCACAGTTTTGGCACGACTTTGATTAATGGCGGTGGCTCTGTCCACCTTTCCATCAATTTTTATTATTAACGAAGATTTTTATCCTTCGACGAGACACGATAAGGGCAAAATTAGGAGCAATCACTGTTAAGATATTATTGAATATACCTTGAGAATGTCGTGTAACACGGTATATATTTTATGTCTAATGTCCATCACGTACATGATTAATATTGGCGCATTTTGCTGCGATACAACATATTGCCTGGAGTTAAATTATGTAAAACCTATTCTGTCACCACCAGCAACTGATTCTCACTGAGAGATTTGTGCTTATGTTTCCACAGACTTCCACGCCTAATTTTGGCAAATCTTTTTGAGCAAACTTTCCAAATTTAGTATGCGGCCATCATAGATAATTTCGTAATTCCCTCGTTACAGATTCGCAAATGATCCAGCACCTTTCTTTCTCGGGTTAGCAAATATATGTAAATGCTCCACATGTACTGATACCAAGATATCAAACAGAGCAGACAAAACATTTAAACAACAAATTAAAAAATCGATTGTGCTTGGTTGCAAGCTCGTTACAAAAATCCATTTCGATATACTTACTTTGGTCGCCTAAGCTTGTCTTGCGAATCTTTTAAGTTAATCCATTATCCTTTATTCGCCTTAAACTGAAAAGTGTCAGATAAATGGAGAAAACTGTGTTGTGATGTATATTGCAAAATAAGTACGCCTATAGGTACAATGAATAATGATCGGGTGTTATAAAGTAATGCAGACTGCTTCGCTATAATAATATATCTTATAAGTGGGTCTGTACGAGCAAGGCAACATTCATATTGTGTTAGGTTATCCGGTATATAATTAGTTAATAATTTATAGTGTCGCGTCTGGAGCATAGCGCTGGTTTGCCCTGGAAGGTCCCTACACTTTGCAAATTCGAACACTTTCGATTCGTTTCAGACTAATTTGGCTCTTAGCCAGAACCCCTTTGTCGTAAATGAAGTATATCGCAATAATTTCCGACTTCTTCCTCCATGCAGATTAACTAGGCATGCTACTTATCCATGGAAAAGGGTTATACTATAAATCATTTGCATCAAATAAGTCATATCAGTTATGAGTCTGAATTGTCGAGGTTTGAAAAGTTTATTCAAATTTTTATATTTGCCGCCACAATAGAAGAAAACATTGATAAAAAATGAATGATAAAAATTGATAGTTTTTGCATAAGTTGACAAAATATGAATCCATGATCTTTCGAAATAATCTTTTCTACCAGTTGATTGAAAATCGAACGTGAGCCGTTCCAGCAGCTAGCTTAATAGGTTTTCTAGCAGAAAATATCTACGAAAATGATTTTCAAAAAACGAACTCGAGATCTTTGTTCATGCTTCGGTTGTTTAGTATAGTTATCCAACCAATTATTATTGTACAATTGTACAATTATTTACTTTTTTGCTGTTTATATTGGCTAGCTTGTAAGATATCTGTAACATAGTCATTTGCTTTTCAGCTTTCAGGAGGAACCTGGAAAAGTTTTATCTTGATCGCTGTTCATCACTGTGCAAAGCTTTAACAATCAAAACAAACAAAAGTTTAACAATCATCAATCATCTTGCGCTTAACTCATGAAAAATTACTTTTATTTCAACAAGAATTAAGACCTTGGATTGCTTAAAAATCGATTTTTATTGCAAGGAGGGTAAGGAGCAATTCTGAACTAAGGCATACGTAATTAATAATGCATCATGCTTCGAAATATTTTAGTATTCGCCTCTATAAGCTAAGAATCTGTGAGTTTAACGGGACAGCCGATATTCACACAGTAGATAATCACAGCATAGTTCTCCGAAGTAGTTCTCGTATATGTTGTTATAAACATCCATACACAACTGCCAATATTTAAAACAAAGATAGAAAGAACAAAATACACTACTTAACTACTTCTGCAAAGTAATTAAAGTAAAGTAATTAATAATATTTAATTAATAAGCGCTTAACAGTGGTGTTTTCGTTGACCTGGAGTCAAAGCAACCCCACGTGTATTGATAAACACGCCCTAATTTCAATTTGGCAGGCGCATTTGGTAAATTTGTTAGTAACAGTTGTTGCGGGAAGCGCAAAATACAGCTAATCACACACTGCGACATTTCAATATAGCCGACGAAATATTCATATTTCCGCGGAACTCAAATTATATCCTTTGAAAACGCTCCCTCAAATCTAATCGCATAAACGGATTATGCAAACTTGCCTCGACGTGCAGTTTCATAAAGTGGGGTTCCGAATTCGGGAGACGTACGCGGAGTAAACCGAACAGCAAAGAAGAAAGTTTATGGGTCCCGAGGGATTTTCGCGACCGTTGCGAACCCGAATTTAATTCACTACACTGCAAAATACTTTTTTTTACGTAGTTTGACCGAGATGTATTAGCGCGTAGCCTACATATCATTGTGTTTTTAAAACACTTAAAATCGGTCAAATACTACCGAGCGGTGTATAAGCAATTAGCCTGCATAGTATGTTTTTAAAACACTGAAAATCAAAACGTTTAATAAACTTATAATATAATATATAATATTAATAAAAGCGGCAAATAGAAACTTATCCGATAGAACAATTGTTTTTTTTTTCAATATATAATTTCATATATGATTTATAAAAAACTTCTTAGTGTACTTAATTTAATATAATGCTAAAATTATTTCCAGCAATAATCAGCCGTTCTAGACATCTATTTGCTTATTTATTTTTGTTAGTTCGTTGATTTGATGAAATTTTGCAAAAAAATGAGTACTACGTTTATTTCTTTCCAGAATTGATAAAACCCCAGCTGTGCTATAATGAAAATGTGTTTGGTCCAAAATAGAAATGCCACTGAACCACACTTATTTTTTCGGACAAATGTACACAAATTACACAATATATAGATGAAATCAATGTAAAAGGGGTATGTTATAGTTACTTTTATTGTGAAACTCTCTGTAAAAGTTATGATTGCGATTTTGAACTTTAATGAACGCTTGACAGTAATTGTCCCAGTTAAATAAATTAAATATAAGGCCGTTGAAGAAATAACAATTTTTTAAAGTGCCGTATTATTACTATATAGTTTTTAAAAATTTTCGAAATCTGTAAGAAATTACGAAAGCATCGAAGTTTTCGTAAAGCGAAAAGTCCGATTTGTCTTCAACGCTGATATACGCCGAATGCGAGGCTGAAAGTAAGCTGCAAAATTGAATACGTCATCGTCAGAGCCATAATAATTATAGTAGAGTTGAAATTGATATCATTTTATACTTCGGTAGGGATCCTTTGCAATTTTCCGCTGTACGAACAATGACTTTCGTTAAATTTTACTTTTCTCCTTTCTTGTATTTTATTGTGTTCCAATCTGGTAGGTTTTGAATATTAAATTTCTCGGGCGCGTTCAATTAAAATTGCCGACGTATTCACCAGACATCGTTCTTTTTATAAATTTGAGTGTAAGATGTATTTCGCTCCTATTTTGAATGGTGTACTGGTGTTAATGTGTGTCAAGGTTCGTTTGGTTATAATTACTTTAATAAATATAATCATGTTGGCTTCTATAAAGTATTCGAAACTGCAAGCATCAATTCTGTGTCTTTGTGGTCTGTAAGATTTGATTTGAAAGCAACCCTATACTCATTTTTAACTAATGTCGAAATATATATTTTGCATATTCATTACACATGCAGAAAAAATACGTTTAAATTTAAAGCAGCTTTTAATTTGTTTCTCTAAGTAAAAAAAAATGAATTAAACAACCAGTTTCCATACATTAACGTTGGAGTACTGAATATAGTGGTGTAATCAATTTAAAAAAAAATGTACAATAAGCTTTTACTGAAAAAAAACTACTCGATAAAATACTCGATTTTATTGAATTTGTTGTTTCTTTGAAAATATTGAAAGAAACACGTGACGTGTGATTTTCCATCATACTGGGAATATGAAGTTTCACTATCACTGTTGTAAAAGAAAATAAAAATAATCAGTTAGGTCAGTTGCAAAAGTACCGTGCTTACAACCGATCTCGATGTAGCTGATTAAATATCAGTATGTTATATACTTATTTCTTACTTAATTCTAAATTAAGCCAATCAGAAAGGAGAGAATTTCATCTAGCTATATTCTTTCAGTTTCATTATAATTTTGTACCATATTTTACAAATACCATGTTGATTGCTTACCTACACAACTATACAAAACAGAACATTATACCTTAAATCCTCAATTGTTATAAGAAACAGTGTGAAAAACGAATTAATTTTGTTAAGAGTCTGTTTTTTGTGTTATTAATTTATTATTTATTGTTTAATTTATTTATTTTCATTTTATATTACTTAATTTAGTATTTTAGTAGGTAAAATAATAAAATATATAATAATATAATATATTTTTTCGAAAAGTGTCTTAAGTATGTACCATCCTGTTCATTAAAAACCTGCACACTTAATTTGATATGGTGTAAGTAGTTCTTATTTTTGACATTTGATTTTAAAAGTGCATGGTGTTAATTGCTGTTTGACGTCTAAATGTCAAATATTTAAAAATTTCTAAAAAATCATCACACCCTGATTCAAACTGCTTATATAATACAAAAACAAATCATACCTTGTTATAACTAGCTGAAGTCGTGCCTTGGTTGCTTCAAAACTTTAGCTTGAGAGCAGAAATCAAGGAGAATGGTTTGTGTTCATAAGTTAAGTTGCGTACGCAAATGAGTCAAAAGAACAACTTTTATGTTAACTGTGTGTGGTCTGTCAACTGTTTTCTGGTCCATATATTCGTTTTGTTTGCAAACACAGTTATGATGAACTCACAATTACCAATTTTATGTTATTTTTGTAATAAGTGGTCATATTTAGGTATATTCAAGTGAACATTTCATTTCAGTCTGCGGACGTATCAGTTTTTGAAGTGAATATACGCTTCGTAGCCGGACTGCTGTCGTGTTTCGCCCTTACCGGCGATACAATCTTCAGGGACAAAGCTCAGCAAATCGCCGATAAATTATTGCCGGCATTCAATACACCTACCGGCATCCCCAACGCTCTGGTCAACTTTAAGACGGGGGTAAGCACTTAATTCGTATCGTTTTATATACTTACCCGTATAGAAATGTTGACCGATAATGACAATTGAATACGTGCATCTCATTTTGTTGTTCGTTATTGTTATACGCGGTATTTCATTAACAATGCGTCAAGTCAAATAGGGGTGAGCAACTGATGATTTTTGAAATTGAAAAATAGAATATGTGGTGACAAATAAATATAAGTCGTTAAAAATATACCTGAACGTGAAACTTAATATTCGAAAAACTATAATCAAGATATTAATTCAAAATTAGGGAACTATCATTTTCAAAACGTGAGAAAAAGTTATACCTGGTTAATAGTATTATCTTGCCGGCTATCCGTCACTTAAATTCCATTGCATGTGTTATCAATGTACAAAAACATGCATTTCACAAGGGGGCGGGTTATAGAACACACTATATTTGTTGGCCGTATGTTTATGGTTTGGAAATACATTTTGTTGAAAATTAAATTTTGAATTTCCATTAGTCACAATTCCATTACGTATTATGGTTCTGATAAATTCTCCGTAAAAAACTATTCAAAGTCCCCTAAAATAGGAAGATCCTATTTTGGCATGCAGGTTCTATTTTCTTGTAACACGATATTGCACGCACAAAAGAAACTACCCCACAGCTTTTTTGGTTTTGTATTTTAATTGACATAGAAGTAAGTCCGGTTAATCTAATTTGCGGCCGAGCGCCACGGGCTTTTGAATGTTTTGTTTGATTATTTTTAATTATTTAAGATTAACATGACTGTGCGACATATCTTTAAACACAGTGCGAAAAGTTTGTCAAAATTGCCTTGAAACAACTAAAATCGTCCAAGTTCGTGAAAAGCAATAGTGAAATTAGCTGAGTCACTGGGCATTAAATTTAACAGGACTAAAAATTTATTTTGTCTAAAATAACAATTAAAGTCACGAATAACTAAAACTATATAAACATTACTATTCGCTATATAAACTACTAATAATTTATGTTTCCGCGTTCTACGTTTCACTGTACTAAGCAGCAGTGCTTTCTCGAAATGGGGGTCGAATATTCCGGTCGCCACAAATATATACCAAATATTAATCATTGCAATTTCCAAAAACCATGTCAAATTTGGAATGTTTAGATATTGTTTGGCCTGTTTTTAGACACTTCATAGTAGTTGTAGAAAGATTCAATGAAGCTACAAACTTAATATTTAGTTACAGTTTTTTAAACTATTTAAAATGAACGAAAAGTTTTAGCATTATTATCTATGAAAATAAAAAGAAACATATGAGCTTGTTTTTTAAATTATCTTCCAATAACGACAAAGAAGAGACGTTCAACGTCGGGTCAAAACTCATTACATGTTCTTCGGTATGATCTTAATCATTGAAACAACCTACTTTCTTCAGGTGAGTAGGAACTACGGCTGGGCGAGCAGTAGTTCGAGTATATTGTCCGAGTTCGGCACGCTGCATATGGAGTTTGCGTACCTTAGCGACGTCACTGCGAAAAGCGTCTACAGAAACAAAGTGGACAAAATAAGACACGTTTTAAGGGAAATTGAAAAACCCAACGGACTCTATCCAAATTATCTCAACCCTAGAACCGGAAAGTGGGGTCAACGTAAGTCCGACAAGTTCAAACTTTTTGTTTTGAAACCGATTGTGCACGCGTAATTTCCGTTTCAGATCACATGTCGATGGGCGCGTTGGGCGACAGTTTCTACGAGTACCTCCTCAAGGTGTGGCTTCAGACGAACAAAGAAGACGTCGAAGCGCGCGAAATGTTCGACGACGCCATCCAGGCCGTGTTCAAGCACATGCTGTTCAAATCGACCGGCGGGCTTACCTATTTCGGCGAGCTCAAGTTTGAAAGGGTGGAACACAAAATGGACCATTTGGCGTGTTTTGCCGGCGGTCTCCTTGGTCTCGCTTCCAAAAGTTTAGCGAACGAACTGTCCACGCGTTACATGGAGGTAGCCAAACAATTGACGCACACATGCCACGAATCGTATGATAGAAGTTACACGAAACTAGGACCCGAGTCGTTCCGGTTCACGGAAGGGGCGGAAGCCAAAGCGTTAAAAAGTGGCGAGAAATATTATATACTCAGACCGGAAGTGATAGAATCCTATTTTTATATGTACAGGCTGACCAAGGATGAGAAATATCGGGAGTGGGCGTGGGAAGCTGTGCAAGTAAGTTCTGTAATTTTGCATAGGTGCATGTTCATTTTCATGGGATAAAATGCGCTAGCTGATGTCTTTCCAATTTTTGTATAAATTGAAAGTTTCAAGAAAACGTTCAAAATTCGGTATAATATATTCTAAGTATATTGATCAATTTTTTTATGCGTGTGTGTGCAAGCGATTCGTGACTTATCTGTTTAAACATTTCCTAGATTTTCCTTATAGCTCTGAGGTTTTTTAGGTATTTAGATCATAATCATGATGTAACCTTTACTCCCCCTGAACTTAGTTGCGGTGCGCCGCTGGTGGATCCTAGAATCGTTTTTTTTTTAAATAACGAATTTAGTCTCTTGTGGTTTATTCGCATCTTCAATCCTTATCAAGAAAAGAATTAAAATCATTTTTCGGCCCCTCAGTACTTAAAATGCTTCATTCCAAGTAGTCATAATTTGCTAAAAATTTAAATGGAAAAAAAACATAAATCCGATAAATTTGATTATTTCACATGTTCCGGTGCCGTTCACATAAAATAATTTTAGTAGATATTATTTAGTCGAAAAAGAAATATGTACGTTTTCAACAGTTAGGTTGGGCTGTTGTACCTAAGAAGGAAATATCAAAAGAGAAAACTCCAAAGATTTTGGATAAATCCCTGTTAACTGTCATATACTTGGAATGCAGTTCAACTTCGAAAAATATATAAAATATATATAAAAATATAATGTAAAATATAAAAAATAATTAAAAGATAATAATCTCGGTTATAGTGGAAGGAAGTGTTGTGAATTGTCTTCAAATAAATTGCTTTCTACGAGACTAGGCGGTAACTGTTGTTGATTACATTGATATAAGCTGGCTTCTGACCAATAACATTCTCACTCTCCTGCACCAACAAATCCCGAGTTTTATGGACACGTTCGTATAATCCAACATTGAAATCGACAAATCGGAGATCGGTCCGGCTTCCGATTCGTCGAGATCAATCACGGTTGTATCTGCCGACTTCTGCTGCGGAACCGGCAAATTTGACGGGTCGCAATTCGCGTAAACGAATCAATTTAATTGTATTGGGACCGCCGGGGGTGCCGGTACCGGCACCGGGCTTTACCGGTGTGTGTGAAAGCAGCCTAACACGTAAAACGTCTAAAATCTGTATACTGGATTTTTAAAATAAACAATATGTCCACGATTTTTTTACAAATAAGAACAATTAAATCAATTCACAGATAAAAATCACTATAGTGCTGATCCAAAAATGAAAAATCTAGGGAGATTCATGCTACTTGTAAATTCAAAATATATTTATAACTATCAGAATCTTAATAATCCTAATTAAGTTAAATAATATATGGGTAGTTGAAGTCAGAAGCACAATATACAAAATAATCGTATAGTGTATGTCTACCACTGTGCGCACCTTAACATTCGTTATCCATGCCATTGAATTACTTGAATTAATAATTTGTTTTTCGGCATTTTTTTAGGGTTTAAAATAACTGTAATACGTTTTGGTTTCGACCGCAAAACATAAATTCAAAATTTCGAAAACACTGTAAAATCGCATGCATGTATGCATGAACTTGTTATTGGAAAATATTTAACATCGTAATAATACCTGCATTGGAAATTGAAATTAGTTGAGAAGCGCAGTGCCGCGACGTTATCCATCGCCACTTAAGCATATACCAAATATATGTAATTAGAATCACTCTCCGTACGTGACAATCTTTGAATGCCGCACACATAATAATTATAATTCCGCGAATTTTTAAATATATAACACCACATCAGAATATGAATATTTCAATTTTAGGCTATAGAAAAATACTGCAGAGTACCTGGTGGATATACTGGCCTTAAAAATGTATATTCCGAAGAACCAATCCAAGACGACGTTCAGCAAAGTTTCTTCCTTGCAGAAACGTTAAAGGTAAAAAAAAAGTAAAATGTTCCTAAAGTAACGTTAATTTATTTGTTTATTACAGTACTTGTACCTGATTTTCTCGGACGACAGCTTAATATCACTAGACGAATGGGTGTTTAACACCGAAGCACATCCCTTCCCGGTAAAAGGCAATCCACTCTATCGAGAAGCGGCCTAGCCCTTAGTGGCATCTACCGCGCAGTATAGTCCCACCCCTGTGTACATAGATTCCACCCTATACGACTGAACCTAGAGACTTTGCTATTAAGATTATTTATTGATAATTATTAAGTGAGTGTGGCGGCAGGTGACTGTGGGATATTTTCGTGTGTTGTAACTTAAGTCCGAGGATGGTGAGAAAAAAATGTGTTCTTTGGTGGTATTTGTTTTGTGAGAAAATGCAAATTTTGTCATTTGTGATTTCATATATAGAAGGCTTGAATGTCGAGTATTTAAAAATCACTTAATACACTTTAAGTTAATATCACCAATGAAAAAATGTTGATGTTTCAAACATCACACATCATGTGTGGGATTGATAACAAATAATATTCTGAAGAGTGCACAATATTGAGGTATTATAGTCACTATATTCAGGTCACTCCAAAATATTTCATTACATTACATTTTTAATTGGAATGTTGAATTGAACATGTTTAATCCAGATATTTTAAACCAGTTTGAATTTTGTGTTATTATTTAGGAGATATTAAGCAAAAAAATCTAAATATTTAAGATTGTTACAAATAGCAAAAAAATATTTAAAACGTATTATGAGTCACATTGACTAGTTGATAACATTTGACAGTACCAAAGTCCATTAGATGTAATCAAGACTCATTTAATTAAACATTTTGGTGCAAACCAAAAACATAGGCAAAATGAGATAAATTTCTCATGGCTGTAGAGATTCTAGGTAGCTACTATAATGTTAGAAAAACAACTAGAAATAAACATTAGAAAAGCTAGCCGAAAATTGAAAATGACAAAACATTATGACAGCTTTTTTATGACAATTTTCGAGTAAATGTGTAGATTTTATAAAATTAAATAATATGTGCGAAAAGAATGTAGTTGCTGTGATTAATAAATTATTGAATATAAACTGATATTACTTGCTTAGTTTAATCATTATGTGAAAATCGTTTTTTGCTCCGACTTATTATTTTATTATAATAAATTTAACATTTTTCACATAATGTGTAAGCTACCGGAAACCGCAGATGTACAGGTTCTATAGTCAGCTCCAATTGTGATGAGAAATGTTGCTTAAATACATCTTTAAAGGTTGTAGGTTATTTTTATATTTCTGTTGTCCTGTCTGTATAACTTTTTCTCTCTATTTTGGTTCGTTAGTTTGAATTTGAAGTGCATTCCATATTTATTTTTTAATTTTATTTATTTTTATACTTTCCGTTGGTACCTATATTATTAAATGTTCAAGCAACAATTCTCCAGTGGATAGTCAAGTGAAGATGATTTTTGTTTACTCTAGTTAGTTTTATTTAAGTGAATTTGTATATGTCTTAAATGATAATCAAACTGGCCAACAGTTCCTCTTACACATAGTTTATAGTTCATAAAAGGGAAATGGTATTTAATGATTATATTGTTTTTATTTTGTAAATATGTATTGTCGTTATTTTTATTAACCAATTTGTAATATATTGTAAAGTAGTATAGTAATTAGGTACTACGAAATAGAAAGAATTAGGGCAAATTTTAAATTAATAAAAAGGGAAATAAGGTGTGTTCATAACTTTTTTTATTCAATTTATTGACATTTGTGGTATTTGTGAAAATGAAAAATAAATGCATTTGACTGTAGGCAATTGTCATTGTATTTCAAAGAAATTTACCAGTAATAAAAAATTTAAATCTAGAATGTTATTTAATATCAAAAACATCAAATCACTTACAATATACACAAAATTAAAAAAAAACTTATATATCAACACCCACCGCACTAGGTGTAGAGTAATATGGATTCGAAGCCAAATGAACTCTAAAATATTCCGAACCCCTCTCCTGAAATAATGAAGTGATTACGGGCTAAATAATTACAATGCAAAAACCAAGTTCAAGTCAAGTAGAATTGATATTTTCATTTGCATACCGGTGATGGTTTACTGTCGAAAACTCAATTCCGCCTGTAGGGGTGAAATTGAAAATATACAAATTTAAGCCACTCACTTGATACATCTCCTTTGTCACTAAACTATCCCAAAACTGATCGCTTCTTGAGAAATTTCTAGCCCCGAACCATGAGGACAATCCAGGATTGCGCACTATATTCACATTAACTTGCGACTTGAATGGCCTTACAGATATTAAATCAGTTAAAAGCCTTTCACGTAGTCCTTGCAGAACAGCCAATCCTCCCATTACTACCACATTAGACGCCAATTTCAATTGATTCTCAGAATCAAAAAGTGATATAACATAAGCTAGAAGCAGTAAAATAACTATAATTAGTGAGCATTGAGCTTTTTTTTCACTATGATCCACCCTCGGAATTTACAATAACTGCGATATAGAAATATTGAAAATTATAAGAAATCATTTTGGATTAAAAAAAAATAAAACATTTGTTAATGATCTTTGGGTTAAGTTTATTTTGCAAAAAGGATTACATGAAGCTGAGAAAAAGAATCTATTTGTCAAATATACAAACAATAACACAGGTCTTTATCACGTCATTTTTTTATAGTGCTATATATGTTATTTTATTAATATATATATATATATATATATATATATATATATATATATATATATATATATATATATATATATATATATATATATATATATATATATATATATATATATATATATATATATATATATATATATATATATATATATATATATATATATATATATATGGCATGAATATTTTTGTTCCATGTTAGGTATGATTTTTAAATGAATTGATTTTGTATGATATTAAATGTGATTTGACAACACTGGATAACATATTTCTCTGCAAAGCAACAGAGTTGCGCAGAAGCGTCAATATTGCGTTGTAATCTGCTTATGCGCAGTTTGGTTGTATTGGTGCCACTGTGTGCGCGGCGTTTTCTTCGTTGTTACGTAATGTTCTAGAGCATATAAATATATAAAGACATCGTGTGAACAATCCAAATAACAAAGCCAAACTATAACTTCTTTCGTAAAAAATGTATACCACGTTTATTTTGGTGTACTGTTTGTTCCGTTTGTGTATCAAAATCTTGACTCTGCTATTCGACCAGTTCCTCATGGACCACATGCATCTACCACCCCAAAAGAACTAGAAGATGTTATATCAGAGGAATCTAATTCCGACCCAGATGACTCAGATTTCACACCAGATTTCAGAAAGCCGAAGTATTTAACCAGGGCGAATTAATGATTTAATTAGAGATTTGCACCTTCCAAATGATGCATTCCAATTGTGTTAGCGTCCAGACTTCGTGAAGAGCATTTACTGGCACCTGACGTCACATCAGCCTTTTACGGGGACCGCGAAATATAGTTATGTCAAATTTTTACTCATAAAGAACCGCTAGTGTATTGCAACAATACTAATGACTTAGTTTAACTAGAATTTCAGTTTTTTACTGAATAAAAAAATAGTTTTACGAATATCGTTTTTTTTTCCTTTAATATTTGCAAAAAAACCTTACGTGATAAAAATTTTTATTATCAGCCTACCAGAATTAAATAAAATCAGTTTTCAAAATAAAGACATCTGTCAAAAAGTTTAATTTTGTAGACCTGCGTAATTAACAAAAGTTGTTGACGCACTGACAATCCAAGCATGGTATTTTGTAAATAAGTTGACTATATTTATAAAATATTGTGTTTTAATAACTCTAAATAAACATAATTACTTGCTGCTAAATTTAATATTATTTTAGAAGATTTAGTCACTTTCTCAGATTTATGAACCAATTAGGTACATTTATGTAAAACAGAGATATATATTATACCAGGACTCCAGACGTTGAAGATTGTATTAAATTAAAAGCTGGGAACATCTCTATTCCGTCAATTTAAAGGAGGGACGCCTGAATCAGTTGAAAATTTATTTTTACCTATTATTTCGGATAGTCCGGCTTCATGAGATCCCAACATATATGGCTTAAACAACAACTCTGGAGCTCTAAACATCTCTATCCCAATATGCAACTGGTGAGTCTCACCAGGGTGCAAGGCTTCTCCACATTCAGAAGGTTCATGAGTTCGCAATATTTCCTCAAATTCTATAAGCTTTTCATTTTCAGCATCACTATCTGAATCACCGCCTATTGCAAAAGAATACCAAGTAAAAAATTATCAATGTCTCCATTTGCAAAGACAAACTTACCATCTTTACTGATTGCTTTGTAAATATCCCAATCTTCATCCCTTAAACCAAAATCATCATTGCCTTTTTCTTTTTTTGCCAATTGTGATATTATTCTCATCCTTTCTTGCCCCGCTGCTGTCCTTCTTTTCGCCATATCCTGCTTTCTTTGTTTTCTAATCATTTTTTTTGTCAAAATTTCTTGTTTCTGTTAAAATTGGAAAATTTTATTTTATATAATACTTGTTTATCAATTTGTTAAAGAAACTTCCACAGGCTACTGTAATACTTTTTACACCACTTTTGGATTCCTCCTGCGTCGATTTTTGCTGAGTCGAACTTCTCCAATCAGAGCTTGACTGAAAACCAGTATGATTGACAAAACATTAGCAAGTTCGACTCAGCAACAATCAATGCAGGAGGAATCCAGCAGTTATGTAATAAGTATACTTGTTTATCCTTTAGTTACCATTTTTCGCACATTCTGCAAAAAAATGTGCAAATCATTTTCAGTCTCAAAGGTCATTTTACTAAATTTTGATTGTTTTGGTGGTAGTTCCTCCAATTCATCCATATTATTGGTGGATGCCAATATTTTCTGCTTTGTTTTCTCAATCTTCATATTCAATTGGAGAATTGTCTTTTCCAGTTCAGTGACATTTTTTATTTGAAACTTTGACAATGTTTTCTCCACCTAAAATGAAAATCAGGTATAATCAGACCTAAAAAATGAAGTGTCCTTACTGTTCCACTATCAGCTCCTAATTCAATCATTTCTTTAATATCTAGCAACTGTCCAATTTTTTCTTCATCCTCAGCCAATCTTTCTTCTCTTTTTCTGGCGTTAATTTCCGTCAACCTTTTGGCTAATTCACGCTTCCTTTCTCTTTGTTGTTCCACTACAAAATCATTTAAAATAAAATCCTTTTTTCCCTATTCCATTAAATCAAAATTTTACAAGTCACTGCTGAAGTTTGAGCACTGGCACTGTAGGGTAACTGAATCTTTTTTATATTTGATTCATAATATTCCCCATCTGCCCATTTATTTAACTCCTCTCTGTAATCCTCTGCAACTTTGCAGATACTATGTAGTAGTTCCTCGGCTCTACTTAAAGTAATAGATGCCGCATGAGCAGGATATTTCAACTGCAATATTCTATGCAAAAAGGTTATTACATGAAAACCACCTGAAACATATTCTTTAATGAATTTGTATTCAAGGTGGCTCACTATCTAAGAAGTGGTAGGAAACCACATAAATTAATTTAATAGTAAAAGCATATAAGATTTAGCACATTTCGGAAGTGATAGATCAAAAGGAGATATGTTTCTCTAAATCTCCCAGACCCACTTGTCTTTTAAAAAACAAAAATTAAGAAATAATACAGTATTCTACAGATATTCTGAATAGATTCTTGATTATGAGCTACCCTATTTATAAAATTTTTCCTTACCTGTATTTAATCTTCTAATTTTCTCAAAAACTGTCTTATTATTCAGTACAGGAATTACATGGCATGTTTGATACCCTAAACTTACAATGAGAACATCTTTAATAGGCTCTTTTTTTGCCTTCTGATCATAGAAGTAGTATGAAAATAAAGAATCAATACCATAACAGACCCCAGGCACATCATAACACTCAAAAAGCAATTCTGACATCACTAAAAAATAAAAACAGAGAAAATTGTTTTTCATATACACATGAAAGTGTTTTTTTTTCTGATTTTTTTCAGCAATGGAAAGGGGGATTTATTACCCTACACATACATTGTCGGGATGAGTTTGGATTAAGTACAGCCTCTGTACATAAAATAGGGTGGCCTACTCTATTTTCGGTATTAATTCCTAAGTGTGTAAATGTATAATCAAACAAATGTTCCTGGGCTTCAAAATGTGTGACAATATTTCGATCAAATTGCGTTTTTAGTTGAAATCGAACTGCTTCAATGTTAATAATATCATTTCCAACCTGAAGTTGTGGCGATTGTGCTACTTCTACAGTGTCTTTTTTCGATCGTTCCTTACGAGGTTTTGCTATAAGATTTTTAAACTGTAGAAGCGGTTCCCTGCTTGTAGACCAACCTACACGCGACATGTATGAACCTAAAAGATGTTTTTTTAAGCCTCAAACCGTTTAGTGTCAGCTACAACCTTACTACCATTATCAATAATAATTGGCACCGAATTATCTTTCAATTGAGTTGTGTATTCGTATACTTTGTCGGAAACTGTCTTAGTGTCTTTAAATTCCAGTATATCCATTTTCAAAATAAAACTACGTCGAGGTTACATTACAAAAACTTCGTCGTTTCTTCTGTGCTTCACATTGGTCAGTAGCAAGTACCCAAATTGTGAGTTTCAGACGAAAACTGAATACGCCACTGAATCCTATCCCGACCAGTTCTCCCCATATCGATAAGTTAACAACTAATAACTGAACTACCAATGAAAAATTTTCGAAAACACCTAAAAATCCAAAATGATTATGATATTTCTGGCACGTTTCATTTCATAAAAAACTACCTTGGGCACGACTGCTGCAACATTAATTCCATTCCATAAACCATTCAAAAATGGGACACACCGTACAATTAGCTGGGCTTCTCGTAAACAATCGACAGCCTCTTTACCACTAATGCAGGATGTAGGGCAATAAAAAATGTTCCGCAATCCGCAATAATGTTGACAATGGCCATCATTAAGTAGGGGCAAATTAACTTTTTAAAACCGTAAACAATTAAGAAACATCAAAAGCATTAAATAATGGCATATAAGATGCGAACTTAGTTTTTGTCCATATAACTATTAGATACAATATCTACTACGATAAAAATTGAGGGGCCTCGTACAGTGGGGAATAATCTTCCCTATGCCTCTCAATTCCATCCACTAACCTGCACTTTGCGCCATTTTCTTCCTAAACTGTAACCTCCACTCACTTAACTCATTTTCCAGAACATTTATCAAGATCTGAGCATATTGTGAGAACATACTGCCGTAAAAATGTTACAACTGAATTCAATCCTCTCGGACTGTCAACGGCCATGTTGTTTGATGAACACCGCTACTCATTCTTATTGGTCTAAAGCAAAATTTCAAAAACCGCCCATGCGCATATTAAATTGTCCATCTCAATAGTTTTTTTCATCGTCGCTTCAAATAATATCTATATATCTAGTAGTCATATGATTTTGTTAGAGTTAAAAAAATTGTTTTTCTGCTCCATACTTCAAAATATCTAATTATACACCGATCAAACTTGCTGAAAGTATCAGTTAATATTTCCATTTTTTAAATGGTTTTAAACACGTACTACTAAAGTATGTCAATAATAATTAATACAACTAGTTTCCAACAAGTGATTCGTGCATGACCGAATTAGTCACGGTTAATTAAGACAAATTTTTACAGATCACACAAATAGTTAAACTTAACAACCCTTCAAGTCGAGGGGCTTCCCAAAATTAATTATTTCATCTTTGAGTTATTTTGTTAGATAAGCAATCGCAATCACTTTTGCATAGCAGGATGGATTGCCTAAGAAAAGCCCTTTTTAACTGCTCCGAATTTATTAGATTATATTATATTAGATTATAGATTATTTTCGAAAATGTTGGCACACCTCCCACCACTATTGAAATCTTATTTTTATTCAACAAAAAGATGTCGCTTATTTATTTACAAAACATTTATCTTTAAATGTTTAATACATTTCGTGGTAAATACAATCTTGCATATGCATTTTATGTCGTTATCTCATTTTCGGACTTTTTCTCAAACAAACTTGTGTTTCGAGCAAGATTACAAGTACTTTACATTTTGTTAAATTATGATTTTATATCTTAGAGTTAAGTTAACAATGTCTATTTTGTATTCTGTGCCTTTTGGTTGTGGTCTGTATTTTTGTTTGAAAAGAAGCCAAAAAGGAAAAACAGAAAAGATAGAACTGTGGTGGTGGTGAACATGTTTTAGTAATAAAGATTCAGTTAGAAGAAGTCCGTTCTATCATTTTTAACACATTTAATTGAGCGTGCGTATTATAGTCGTATTTACAATTCCTCGAACGCTCCTGAAGGCGTTCTTGTAATTGAGGGTGCTTCAAAACCCGCATTACGTTTTATAAACAACATTTTATCTCGTTTTCTTGTGAGGCAGGCTTAAGTAAACCTTTACAACGTTGCCAAACACAATTTTAACCTTCCTGGTGTAGAATCAACTATATAAAATCGGCAAATTGAGATGCGAAGTGGGGGTTGAGGTTGAAACTGGTGTTAGGCACGACTATAAATTCGACCATTAGAGATGTATATGTGGTACGCCATCTATGTATAAATACAATATGTTTTAGTGCATGCATTTTATCTATACTAAGGTTCGTTCCAGCACCTAATTTTGAATTGTACTGAGGATGCATTAGCAAATTCATATTCCAGCAACATCAATCTCGAGTTAGAAACGGATCAGAACTTGAAGTTTTCTGTTCCAACAGTATTTTAGGACTGCTATTCGAACAGTTTTAGAAACGCGAAAGGAATTCTAGGATTTTTTTGGGAATTTTAAATTCAGGCATGCCTTAAAACCAATTAGTAGCAAATTGAAGTAACAGGTGCCTATGGTGAAATATCGTCTCTTGAAATGTGTTTGTTATGTGCTGTTTTAAATTCCTATAATTTTATTATTTGAACTTGTTGACATTCCTTGTATGCTTACTTCTAAATCCTTAATCTTGATAGTGTAAAAACGGTTACTTTGATAAATTGTTCGTCTTTGGCTCTTTAGTTTAATTTAGTAATAGCATTAATCTTAACAAGGTTATGAGCAAATTAAACACTTTCACATGAAAAGTGCACAATTAGACACCGATTGGCAACAGTGGTGGTGACATACGTTATTGCAATCAAAGCATTCCGATTTAATTTTTTAAGACCAGATACTATTATTGTTACGTAATAACCGACAAAGAGTCTCTATTTCTATTATACCATACAACATTTTATTCTTCCACCCACGTGTCACAGTGCGCGCGCGCGCTCGGTATATATTCAAAATCTTGAATTAATTGGGTGCGCGGCATTTTTGCAGACGCTCGCGACGGCGACGCCAGTTGACACGACGCGCGGGAACAGATTAAAATTAGAACGGACATTTTTGAAAGTGTTATAACCGAACTGTCAAACTTGGACAAGCTATGAGCGATTCCTCTCGTTATTAACTCCCCGTTTAACTTTATGTGGTGACTTAAACTAGTGAATGCAAGGACTAGTTATGGATTGTGTAAAAAAATTGACCATATTTGGATTTTGTAAGTTGTTTTAGTTAGTTTAAGTTAGTTCTGGATGTTAGGTGTCAATTTTTTAACACCAAATAAAAAAATGCATGTACACAAAATTATTAAAAATGGACGCAATTTTTTAAAACGTTTAAAAAGTGTACAAGTAGTGACAAAAATTCAAAAGTTACTTAAATCGTTAACCAAATTTAAAAGTTTTATGGTTCTTGATTCTGTAATTTGTTTTTTGTTTTCATCACCAGTTGTAAAATAAAATAAAATTAGAAGAACCAGAAGAAGAACTTTCAATACATTTCGCGTATTGAAGGTTTTGATAAAAAATGAGTTCTATTATTTTATAAAAGTATCCTTCGGTTACCTGTGACCATGCTTTTTCATACAATTTCTTATTATTTCCTTTTTTAAAGTCCAAAAAATTTTTTAGAGAGAATAAGAGAACCACTTTATATCCAAAGCTGGGAAAATGGTGACAAAGCACACAAATTTGTATGGTCCTCAGAGGATGCGTTTTCAGTAATTTAAACAGAATAAAAAAGTTTGTACCATATGCACAAGCTATTTGAAATTGCTATTGCATCTGTATTGTATCTGTATTACCGGAGATATAAAAATTTAATTAAAGCTCGGGTTCTTAACATTATAAAAAAAAATATAATTGAATTTTGTATTTAACCTCTCATCGTCGTTCACCGAATTAAACTTCTAAATGTTGTACTATAGTTTATTTGATTCTATTATATAGAATTCATTGTTAATTTCTAATTTAAGATGATGTGCGGAGTATCTAATATTCATAAATATCAAGACGGGCATGCCCAAAAATTAAATACGATATTACATATTATTTAATTTATTGTTATTTCTTTGTTGTAAGAATCTGGAAAACAGTTGTTTTGGTTAGTTTTAATCCCAGAACCAACAACAATACTATATTTATAAGAAATTTTAGACAATAGTTATTTGCAGAATGGATCTCCTAATAGTTAAACTCCCTCGTTTCAAATATACATAGGTAGATTAAGATCCTCAACGGTTTTTATAATCTGTATAATGTTGCAAATAAGAATTTTAACAACCCTAGGTAGGTTTATCTGCTAGCTATTTATTTATATTTTGAGCATTAAAAACATAACCTACATTCGGCTTCTTTCTTTTGTAGTATGTGCAAACATAAATATTTAAATATTGTCCGCGTACATAAAATAAAAATTGTTTGTTTATTATTAGCCTTTGATATTGCTATTTTTATGAAAAAATATATAAAAAAGATAATATTGTGTAGGTCTAGCCATTCAAAACATATTTGACTTGCAAACACAGTTCAGTTTCATTTCACGCAATCTCTCGTGTATCGTACATTTATTATAAAATAAAACTTTGAGAGAGTGCGGAGGGTCTTAATTGATAAATTGAGCTTTATGAAGCAAAACAAATGGTTTAGGAACGGTGTTATATATTTACATTGAGTGGTGAGTTAAAATTTTTAGATAACAAAGGAAATTCATCCTATTACTGGACGAGCATAGTAGACCTTGCGCCAAATTTGTATTTTGGAATAATTTCGCAATGCGCACTTCTATCTTATAACATGTAATACGGTAAAACACATATCACAAAAGGCGAAGTTGAAGTTACACTTTCTCACTTAATGTACGGTTGTCGTTTTGTCGTTTGTTTGTCGCCTAATTTGTTAACTGTCACTGTACTGTACTCCCCAAAATTAAAACTAGTGCAATATGAAAAATGGAGTTTTCCCAAAAGTCTTAGTCAGGCGCAGGTTTTCGCTGCATTACAAATTTCGTGGTGAGACATTTACATAATCATCTAATTTTACGTTATATCGTTTATTTCGGGTTAGAATCCTATCTATTTTCGTCATTCAATATCCCAAAGCAACGATAACGCCGTTACTCATTCAATGAAAAATTACTGGCACCTGTTGAAACAGTTCCAAAACTTTTGTTTTCTACGGATTGTTTTCTTTGATATAATACCGGAGTGTTTATTCGAGATGTCGAAGTTTGCGAGTTATTCCATTTGCCATTCAAGACTACCATGCTTTTTTCAATTTATGTTGTCACCGTATTAATAATTTACTGCGTAATATAAAGTTCCAGAATGCTTTTCGTATAATGAGTGAAACTAAAAAAATATATTTAAGTAAAATTTGTCTTATTTATGAATAATTGCACGACCTCCAGATTGGAAAAAAATCGTCATTTTTTTTTTAAATAGAAATTTTCCCTCCTTCTGGTTTGCAAGAAATGTCGTCTTCAGAAGAAAGTGAACTCATGACACTTATATGTATTCTTTCATTATCAATAGACCATGGAAATAGTACAACAAATATGCCTCCAGATGATGATGCCGTTGTAAAATGTAATATAAAATGTTCGATTAGTATATTTTTAGCTTTGCTATCGAATGAAATTTTAATTCTGTAAAATACTTAGCAAAACTAAGAAATATTAACTTTTAAATTAGTAAAGGGTTTGTGGAAATATGTATCAACATTTAAATATATTTTTCAAAGCATTTTCTAGGAGCCCTGACTAATTACATTGTAATTAAAATAGTACACCTCTTCATCTAGATATAGTTTTTGGACAAAAAAGTTTTTTAGTATTTGCCACATCTTGCTAAATCAAACACAAGCAATGAACTTCATTTACGAGGAATAAATTTAGCCATTCTTTTTGGTGCAGAACACATACTTTTGGTTCACTGGTGACATTCGATTTTTTACTAGTAACATATTACACAATATGTGATTCTGTTACGAGAAAATTAATAATAGATTTTGAATATTTTATTGTATTATTTTTACCTGGCAAAATAAAACTGAGAAGGAATTTATAACATTAATATAAATACACAAACACTTAAGATTTGAAAAATAATAAAAATGTCATCAGGTCTTTGTTACATTGTAATAAATATTTCATTTTAGTATTTCGCCAGTGTAAAAATAACCTGCGAAATAGTTCTTTTGAAGAATTTGGGTCGCTCTAGCGACCGATACGAAATGAAAAATTGATAAATGGTTTTTCATAAATTACAACACAAATGGCAACTGGGCTTTAAGATACGCCCAAAAAAAAACTTTGCGTGAGAGTTTGTGTACTCACTCGACTGTAATTTATTATAAACACCCTGTACCATAAAGTTTCCTATATAAATAGTGCGCACCAGAATACATCGCTTTTCAAGTGGTTTTTTAATTTAACCGCGCTCAAAAGTTCAATTTTGATGGGAACCGCATTGAAGTGTTAACAGTAAACAGATACAAAATAAATGTAAGTTACTAAATATAAATTTTCAGTCGATAAAACATTCAAAGAAGATTCTTGAATCGATGTCAAAAGTAAAGCCTAGTTTGTGGAGTTCAGATTTTGATTTTATTTTAATATTACAGTTTTTTTTCCCAAGTGAATAGTCGAACACATTATAAAAATTTGATTGCATTGTCTACGAAAATTACTAATAAAAGTTTCGATTATGATTACAAAGGTTAATACAGGCTCTATTCGTCGATCTGATGGTCGTTTTGTTTTGGATCCTGTGCCTCAAAGATTAATATTTTTATTATATATTTACCGCGAAAAGAATTAAATACCATGAGATCAAAACGATTGGAGGGTGACATTCAACATATTTTCTGATCCTTTATCTTTATCGCTCCTTATTTGATGAAATTTGGAAAGCTTGGGTATCATTTAAAATAAGGAAATTCGTATTCATTTAAAAAATGTTCACTTGACTTTGGTTTTCGTTGTTTTGGCTAGGATGCGTGATATATGATGTTCACCACTATATTTTATTCGAAAGCTAAAATAGAGTTATATATATATATATATATATATATATATATATATATATATATATATATATATATATATATATATATATATATATATAAATATATATATTCATTCAGAGGGAGTAAAGCTAATTCTTCCAATAACTTAAAATGTAGTTGAGATTTTAGTCTTTGTCGCCATGCTGCAATGCCCTTTACATTTTAGTTTAGAATTGAAATCAGTTTCACCAGCGAAAAGTATATCCAAAAATGTTTCAATGGTCCTTTATGTGCTCTGCCAATGTTTGGCAAAACACCTATTTAGAGCGCTCTGCATAATAAACTTCGAGAATAAATCAAAATGTAATGGGCAGAGCATCGCATAAAAGGAAGTAACTAATTAACATGTAATTACATTTCCGCGCTCGCAATGGAACACTGATATCGGAAATTGACTTGCGAGTACATCGAATATGCAAGTGCCATATTGAAGTTTTTTTTTAAACGAGAGATAATCCATGGGTTATTTTCAACATTATGACCGTGTAAAATGTATTTGAATTTTAACTGAATCATTTTCGAGTCATAAATTATTATAAATAATGTACCAAAAATACATCTGTGCATCCATCCATCGCAATTTATTACCATTCAGATGTCAGCGAGCATTAGCGTTGATATTCATAAATTTCTAGCCTAGAGTCACAAATCGAACCCACTAAATTAGATCGTACAACTAAGCAGGATTGTACTTAGTGGTTGCTTAAAAAACATTTCTAGAAATATACTACCGCCAATATGATTCTTATAAAACTGGGAGTTATAGTGAAACATAAATTGTTTGGTTGAAATAATAAAACACGAAAACTAATATTAAAATTAACTAACCAGTTTCTTACGTCCCAATTTATTCGATATTCAACTGACGAACGGTATAATTCCTCACGGCTTGAGCTAATCAGATTTTCGTTTTTGTTTTTTTGTTTCATATTACTTGAACCCTTTGAAACCTTTGATGTAACAGCTTTCATTTAAACAAATCAAATAATACATTATCAACGAATCCTCTTTCTGAACATTTGCGAAAGAATATTATTTTTGATATATAATTGATAACATAACTAAATTTTTATACAGTAGGGTAGTAATGATCCCATAACATTAAATCAAAGTTATTTCTCAAAAATAGCTGGTCATAAGCTATAAACAATTA